GCCTATGCAAAAACTATGGGAAGACAATAAGAGGCACAGAAGTTTTACGTATTCACTAGGCAGCCATAAACCCTGTAGAAAATAGAGTACAGATGGCAAAAAAAAACCAAAACACCACCACTTCTTTAGAACTGTTTAGAGGGAAGTTTATGAGCAGATGTATAAATGGGGTTGCAGATGTTGTAAAAAAGCAAACACACCATTGTGTAAACAGGTAAATTTCCCACTAGTGGGGCATGAAGAAAACTGGAGCTTAGTAAGGGTAGTAAGTTTATCCAGTAACTTAGTGTAAATTGTGGTAATTAAGAAATGACAAATCATTTGCACTCATTGAAGTTCTGTTCTAAAGCGATCTGAGACTTCTCCTCTCCCTCTCCACATGCCAAACTTTAATTAAAAGAATACAAAACCAAGACAACAAAACATATGAATTAGATATATATACATATAATCTACATTTGGTTCCTTGAGCTTTGAAAGCATCTAAGTTAAAAAAAATAACATCACTCATAATCCCCAAATTATTTGCTATTGGGCTGGAATTCTTACTAATATTTCCTTGTTACACAACTTACGAGAACATCAATGGGGTTAGGCTGACAAGAATAAACATACCAGCCTTGGCTTTACTTCTCTGCGCCTTCAAAATACCACAGATGTTTCAAAAGCCATTTGGGTTTGTCGACTTCCAGATTTATTCACCAAGAAATACAATTTGGGGTGGCAGAGAAATTCTAAAAAAGACACACAAAGCAACAACTTTCAGCAACGCCAGTCTTTCCCAAATGTTACACTTCTGAAGATAATTTATGGTCCTTGAAGGCCATGACTTTGAAAGTCAGCCTACATTTTCTAATCTCACTTTGAGATTGAAAAGTGTCTAGTGGAACACATGCTCAGCTCTCTCCAACTCCAGTGAAGAATTTTATCCTCATTGCATTTCATCAGCTAAATCTTTTGCTCCCAGTTCCACTCATATGGATGCTGTGGTCTCTATGCCATCCTGCCTTATGATATCCACAGGGGAGTAGAGTGGTGCTGATGGAAACAGCTTTATGAGACCTTATCCTTCCCCCACACCCGTGTTGTCTTTTGTGTCGACATCCACGTCTTTTTTGGAAAGAGAAAAATGCGTTTGTACATACACACACACACACACACACACAAAAGCAAAGCGTGCACGAAGGACTATGAACCAAAGAAACACATGAAACCCCCCATTTCCTGGCACACTCAGCTTCTGAGTTAGCACTGGCTCTGGTCAGATTTTTGTCATGCCAAGCCATACAGGAATTTTATATAAGCAAACTCCCAAACCTGCGTGCACGTTTACATACCTATATGTAAACGCTTGTGCAAGTAGCGTTACTTAAAAGTTAGGAAACCAACTTTTTCTTTGATGTCTGGTACTCTTTGCCACAAACAGTAGGTGCAGACACAGAAAAAAATCAGATCAGTGTCCATTTATAACTCCTTCCTTTGACCTTAATGAAGAGATAGCATATTAGTAGCCACTCCAAGCCCATCAACTTTAAACTTGTAAAATGACCTTTGAAACCATCTGCAATTACTTGCATTTACAATGGCTTCCACTTAGCAGCACCAATGTGACTACATCGTACCTTACCGCACCAGACATCTCCACTGCTTGCAGTGGCACAGGCAAACATCTACATTTACAGTTCTGTGCTCACAATACTGGGATCAGTGTTGAAACTCAAGTAAAACCCAAGGTCCTCACATACCAAATAAACAGACTGCAGTTCCACTGCCTAACTGTGTCAGTAACTTGCCTTGTGCATTCCAAGCAGGCATCCGTTCTCACTTATGTTTTCAAAGCTGCCTAACACAAAGTGGTAAGGGAATTGATGCTTCATTACAGGAAGGTATCAACACAAGGGCTGAAGGCTGAAGGAGGTTAAAAAGAAAGCTGAAAGCCGAAGTCTTTTTAGAACATGTCTGTAAATGTCAGTGCTCAGCACTCCCTTCCTACCAAGGCTGCCAGCCATGCTCAAATGTGAGAGGGAGCTCTACGGTTTTATTCTCTCACTAGACACTTAACAGAATATACTATTTTAAGCTTGCTTTACAGCCATTAATATGTCACAACTGTAGAAAGACAAAGAAATGCAACTTGCCAGAAGAGTGTGAATGAAGTCTGGGGAGAAGCCTTTAAAACTGACCTAAGAGAGAACGTATGCAGCAGCATCACTGTTTTGGCCACCCCTCAGAATTAACTTTGCTGGCAAAGGAAGGACCTCACAATCCATCTCTGAAAAGGTCACACCAACTAGCCACTGCTAAAAGTGGCTACCTTCTCCCTCCTAAAGCAGAAAACTGCCATCCTGAAGCTGATCGCAATCCTTGAGGGTTACATGGGAAGAGAGGATGGTATGATGCCTTCTGCCATGCTTTGAAATCTACCAGTGCTCTTCACATTACTGCAGAGAGCAAGGGAAACACCTTGGTTTACTCCAGAGAGGGTAATTCTGCTCCTTCAATTATTTATTTTTCAGTAAGTCAAAGAACATGAAAAGACATTATGAATCAAAGTTATGTTTCCAAAAACAGGCAAACACCACAGGGAGCAGAGGTGGCAATTTATTTACAGCCTTCATAAACACATTTTCTCTATCCCAAGAGGGGCTCAAGCTTCCAAAGCCCTGAACTAGATTTGTACTCCCCTCAACATACTCAGCTCAAAAACCTCTGGTGTGATCAGAAATGGGTTTTGGACCAGCGCTGTGTCTAACAGTCATTTACAGCAAATTCCACCTTTTTTGCCTACTCACAGATCTCAGCCACAATAAAATACTAAAGGGAAAAGGGCAAAGTAAGCAACCTGTAAAACTTTTCAGCACACTTTAATAAATTGCATTTTCAACGATAACGACCTCGCACAACGATGCTAAAAAGGCCCTAGTCTAGAAGGATTTCCCTAACCATGAAGCTTTTCAAGTCCTTTGCTTAGGTATCTTCTGTAATCCAGATTGGGAACCATTGTTCCTATCAGAAAGATAGCCCACAGTCATTCTGAGAAAGCGAACATTACGCAACCTTGGCAGAGCAGTTTAAGTGGTTAAGAAGAGAAAGAGAAATGTCTATTTCAAAAAAGGCACCATCACAGCCTGACTTCTAGGCACAGAAGCCAGATCACAAAACCCTGTTCTCCTCCATGCAAGGCAGAAGTTTCACAATTAACAGTTAAATAAGGAAACGAATGTCTTGCTGAAAATTTTCATGAAATCCATATCACCATTGAGTAGCATCCTTTCAAATAGCACTTTTTACTGTAAATACCAAAGGAATTAACGAAGATCAACCCCTTCATTTAAAAATGTTACAGTACCACAGAGCAAGAAAGGTCATGTTTAAAGGGAATATTCTGCAGCACTGCAGAAGCAGTATTAACACAGAAATGAAAAGGGGAGGGAGACAGAGTGTCAGAACAGCCCCGGAGAAAGCACCTGAGGAACATAACACCACTTTAAACGACAGAAGGACCCACGAAACGACTTCCGGATTCAGCCCTTACCATGAACTCCTCCAGGGTCTGGTAGGTTTTCCCTCGAAACTCGCAGTAGTTCTTCTTCTCTTTGCACTGCGGGCAGCACTGCGTGGTGTCCACCTGGATGCACCGCGGATGCAGCCGGGGGCACTCGGGCTGTATGCACAGCGGGCCCTCTTCAGTGCACAGGCAGGGGCAGGCAGAGGGGCCAGGCGCAAATTTCTCCCCGATGGCATAGACGAATCCGCTCTCGTCCACGCAGCCTTTCCCTCGGTAGTCCGGGTAGGCGTACTCCTCCGGGGGTTCAGGAGTTACACTCGCAACAGCTTCTGGGAGAGAAGAATCTTCAGCCACCTGAGCTTCCTCGGGAGCAGCGTCCCTCTGCTCTTGCACTGCAACGCTCCCGGATTTACTGCCTGTTCCCTGGCTGTTCCAAGCCTGCTTTTGCTTAGTCCAAGACTCCTTGTTCGAGTAGTTCCTGTTCCCTTTGCTCTTCCAGTCCCTGCTCCCCTCCTCCCTTCCGCTCCTGCTGATCTCATTCATTTTCCCCGGGCCTGTCTGGCTGTCCCTTGTAGACGTGTGATCCCTCTTTTCCTGGCTCGCCTTTATCTCCTGCTTGTCTTGAGCCTTGGCCAATTTTTGTACAGGTATGGTGGAGCTACAGAGGGCAACCATGAGGCAGCAGGTTACAAGAAGAGAACTAGAGAGAGCGCCAATTGCCATTGCAGTAGAGCTGGGCATCACCTACTGCATCCCACAGGGGACACTGCATTCACATCGGAGGGAAGCGCTTCACAGATGCGCTTCACAGTCCCTAGGAAGAAAAGGATTAGGAACACTTCAGCTTCTGCATTTCATTCCCCCCCGCCCCCCCCACTGCCTCCACTGATTCAACATCTCAAACAATATGCAACCTGTCTCGGTAGTTTATGCAAAAGGCAGACAACAGCCTGGTGCTGCATCCCTCCTCCTCTGCCTCCACTCTGCCAAGTACTTATAAATAGCAGACCTCTGGACACGGACAGGGTGCCTTCGGCTCCGTGAGAGCACAACGCATAAGTCTGGGGAGTTCGGATTCGCAAAGCCAGATGCATGCAAAACCCAGAACATCTGAGGGTTATTTTTCCTTCTAAATGACAACCCGTGAAGAGAACGCACGCTGAATTAAACAGCTCCCCAAAACACAGGAGTGTCCGGAACAGAAATCACCCGAGTGAATCCTGTTTGCTGACTGCAAGCACGCTGGTTGTCATTAACCTCTTATTCAGTCTCAAGTATGCTGTCGGTTTGGGGTTGTTTATTTCTTTACTTACCAGTGAGCACATTTCTGTTAAAGACAACCGAAACGAAGTACGTTAAAGCGCGTACAGCCAGACTATCTCTCCTCCGAACTACCTAAACAAGCACACGCCACCACTTTCTCCCTATGTCTTAAAGGCAAAGCGGAGCCGTTGAGAGTTTCCGCAGCAGAGGCTCGTTTAACCCAAACCTCCAGTAGCCCTGCGCCGCTCCCGGCTCCCGTCCTGAAACCGCGGCACACAAAACTGGGAGAAAACCAACCCAGAATGCGTACACTGCTCCTCCGGCCGCGATGAGCGACGGCACTTCAGGCTCCCGGCACGGCCCCACCTCCGAGGTACGGCTCCCTAAACCCACGTAGAGCCTCCCGCTCTGCCCGCCCGCCTCCCCCGACCCTCACCGCGGGGCAGCGCGCTCCGCCTGCTGCCCAAACTTTCCGTCGGGACGGCCAGTACCGCCCGACCGCCTCCCGGCAGGGTGGTGAGGAGCCGGGTTCAACCCCTTCACCAGCACGGCAGCCTCCCCCAGGCGCCCGGCCCTACACCTTCCTACCTGCGCTGGAGCCGGGCTCAGCCCCGCCGGCGGCTCGGAGCTGCAAGCCTCACCCCGCGCCTGCCTCCCATGGCGGGGCCGCGGGCGGGCGGCCGGAGTCGGCTTGTTGCAGCCCGCCCGCACCGGCGGTCCTGCAACGCCTGCAGCGCAGCGCGGCACAGCGGCCAGCCGATCCAGCCCCGCCGCCCCAGGGGCGGGCTCCGCCGCGGTACCCGCTTCTCTCACATCGCGGCCATGCGCCCCCGTCCCCGGGGGCAATGGGGCAGAACAAGGCGCTCCGCACTGCCCACCCGTCCGTCCTCCCGCCGCCGCCGAGCCGGGCGCAGGGCGGGGACTCGCCGCTCGGCGGGGGGGCGGTGGCGCCCGATGCGGCCGCACGGCGCCCCTGCCCGCCCCGCCCCGCCGGTTGTGGTGGCGGGGGGGGGGACGGTATGGAGCTGTTGACCTGGTTGTACAGCTGAGTCCCGCTGAGGCGATGACGGCGTCGGGCGCGGGGGGGGCTCCCACAGCGGGAGGTCGAGCGGGTGCCGGGGGTGGGGGGGAAGCGGGGCAGCGCGGGCTCATCCGGGGTCGGTCCCGCACACCGGGATGAAACTTTTGCCGGTGTAAAGGTGCCAGCTCGGGATGGAGCCTGCGGCGCGGCGGGCATGGGGGCACTTTCCGCGGTGTGAGACGCGTACCGGCTGCCGAGGTGGTGGCCGATGCGGAGGCAAACTTGCGGTGTAGCCGGGCCTGGGGCGCTGATAGCCGGAGCAGCGCCGGCGGTGTCTGCCTCTGGTGCCCGTGCTGAAGCATCAGATCCCCCTGCTTTAGCTGTCTCTTGCTAGCCTTAGCTAGCGATGGAGCTGTACACGATTTGCTAGCTGAAATATTCACCCATGCTCGTGGATGGTCGATGAACACTTAAATGTAATTGCGTTTTTCTCCTTTATGCTTCTTGATAGAAAGAAAGGGGCAGAGCTGTCTACTACAAACGTGATGGCTGAAACAGAGTGGTGGGACAGAAATGCAGAAGAAATGCTAGAGGTGCTTTTGTTCTGGAGCTGAGCAAGGGCTTGGAACCCAAAAGGTTATTTATTTATGTATTTGTTTATTTTTAAGCCGCATTAGATGACATACCAGTGTAATCTAATGAGCTTTGCTTTACAGATGTTCCACAGCAGTCCCTGCTGCACTAACCCTCTTCTCCCTGTAGTTCTTTAGCAGCTTTCTGTGCCCTACTCGTGGCCGGGGGTGGATTTCCCAAAGTGCTTGGCACTGTAACTGAAATTTTTAGGCTGTGTAAAATTTTCAGATTATTTTTCATTAAGATGGGAGCACTGCGGTATCAGTACTCAGGAGAGCAGTGAAAATCTGCTGGGTACTAATGTTTCACTGGTAAGTACCTTCATGAGTGCCGGTTGTTTGTGAAAATCCAAACACTTAAACTCCTCCACAGGAGGATGCAGGTGCTAAACTCTTCTAGCTGTTAGGTTCTTGTTGTAAACATCTATGAGTCCTGCCTAGTTTACAAAATTAGTTCTATTGACACCATCTCATGTCTCCCAGTCAGATATTCACCAGCTAAATAGTGGTTTAATCTTCTGAAACTTTAAAAAACAAGACTAAAGTTTTGAAGGATACAAGAAGTCAAATGTTTCTGTAGGCTGCAGGAATTCTAGATTGCTATGGAGGTTTCCTAGACGAAGTCTTACAGGGTTAAGCTACACTTTTCTCATTACCTGACTGATAGTCATTAAGAAGTATTTGCCTTCAAATTATTGTCTTGTTACCTCTGAATAAAGAATTAAATCTTTGCCTTTTCTACAAACAGTAGTTTTATGCCTTATATAGCTTAAACCCTGACATGGGGTGATCAACCAGTATGCAACACTGCTAATTCTAGGAGAACTTGAATGACCACCCTTACCTTGTGTTCACAAGCTTATAAGCTTTGCTGTCAAGCAGCAGCTAGTTGTGGCTAAAGCAGGACAGAAGGAAATGGGGGACTTGGGAAGGCAATGCTACACGTGTGATAAAGAGGAGAGAGAAGCCAATTTATGGTTCTGACATTTTCACATGTTCCCAGGTGAATCTTTGGTACAAAATCTGGGATCAGCATACAGCCCTCTCTCTGTAAGAGCTCTGCCTCTCTCAGACGGATCAGCCAGGGCTGGAGGTTCAAGATGCTGCTGTGTAATAAGAAGGGCAAAACTTTAGAGAATTCTCATGGTGACAACTGCAGCTCATCCTAGCCTTCTTGGCAAAGAAAGAGGTTAAATACCCTCATTTCTTTTCCTGAAAGATTTCTCATTGGATTTAAGCCTCTGTTTATTCAGATTCATAGATATATTAAGTGATGGATTGTATCTGACACTGGGACCCTTGCAGAACTGCTTTGTTATAGCATCAAATTGCAATATGTTATAGCAATATGCAATGTTGTAGTCCAAGTGGTCAAACAGCAGATATGTAAGAAGTATTTGGTGTTTTCTTGAGTGTGAATTTTGAACTAGAAGAAAAGAGAAACATGAAAATCTGTTATTTGAAAACCACTTTTAACAATGTCTTTAATGTGAGTTTTATATTTCTTGTATAACATATAAGGTTGTGGAGACAAGTCCTTCTGTCTTTGTGCAGGATAGACATGGCATAAAAACACAGATCCAAGTTCCCCCACTCTGCTCTCCCCCTAGGCAACAGTAACAAGGACAACTGTGTCTCTGGATAAGAATCAAATTCTGCATCCCGTTCAAGAGGCTTTCCCTTCTGCTGGATCTTGCCTGCATGATGAAAACTTTGCATTAGCCACATCAGAGCTGTCATGAACACAAAATTATCTATGCTGATTTTAGCTTAATTTTACTAGGAATTAGCTTATTTTTACTTGGAAGCAGTTGAATGGAAAGGAACTTGGTAGCTGAAATAAAAATGGTGCTGGAGAGGAATGACTGGAGTTAAACTGGTGTGGTGACAATCTCCATTAGACTAGGCTCAAGACAGTGAGTGTGGACATTCAGGCTGAACACAGGGTGGCTGTTTGAAAAGCTTAATGAAACATCTATTTCATGAGATTAGGGGGATTGAAATTTTGAACAATATATATTTTATTTTTTTTTTAAGAATGGCCTTAGTGTGAATGACAGGAACCCAAATGTAGCATGTATCTTATGCCAAATTAAAAATGGTTGTCTGCCTAAAGACTAAACCCTCATAGCTATGCATACGTTTCACTTAGACATCTAAGAACAGTGTGACAACCACTGTTATCCTAATACATGGATAAAGAAAGGCCCAGGATATGGGCATATGCGCGCAGCCCCCCCACACTTGGTGATCACTCAACACATCTATCCCTTCACAGGGTCTCATGCAGGGAGCATGCTCCTTTTGTCCTATTTAGTAAGTGTCCCCTGGTGGCCTCTGTCTTCAGCCAAGAAGACAGAGAGAGGAAAGAGAGTTCAATGAAGGCCTGTGGAGCTGGGCAGGGCACGTCAGCAGAAGAGGAGCCTCAGTACAATTGAGGGGGGGAGAATGAGGAAGGTGTGTTTAGAAAACCCCACCCAACAGTGAGATTGGGTTTGGTGACAAGATTGCTGTCTGAGCCCTTGGAGGCGACAGTGCGGGCTCAGGGGGAAGAGTATAGCAGAAGGTGTACTCTGTGTGTGCCTGTCTCAGCTCAGAGGCTCTGAAACAAACTCCAGAAGCTGAGAGGGGAAAAGGTGTTCCCAAGGCAGGACTCCTCTGGGAAAATGGATAGTCATGCCTTTTTATTTTGTTTCATTTCATTATTTCTCCTGAAAGGAAGAGAGTTATTACAGGAAAGGTATTTTTTATTGTGGTGCTAAAGTGGCAGTTGTTCAGGCAGGCTCACATCGCAGCCTTCGAAAGGTACCAATTTGTGCAACAATATTAGTCCAGCCATATAAAATAGGGCCTTCAAATAGCAGTCAGTCTGAAGGCAGAAAGAGAGAAACAAAGCCAGGGTACATATTACTCTAACAAATGATGTGTATTTGAAAAATTCGATTATAAATAAGCAGTTTAAACAACTCTTAAAAAAAACCCAAGCAAACAAACAAGCTTCCATAACTATTTTTAAACTAGGTTAGCTTTCATCTTTTTATTTCTTCTGTTTTCTTTATGCCACTTGGCAAAGGATACTGAACACATACTGCTCCAGTTCTTTCTTTTTTTATGAGTCTGATAAGTAGTTATTGAAGAAGTATTACACAAGCTGTAGTTACAGTTGTGTCTTCATTAATTGTTTTTAAATTATTTTTTTTTTCACAGATAATGATGTTACAACATTTTTCTTCTGTTTTGCATGCATGAAACCAAAACTTAAATGGCAGAGGGAGTTCCTCTGTCATTTACAGCTTAGGATCTTCAGTAAAAGGACTCTCTTTAAACGTCTGTAAATCACAGTTTGCCCGGTGGGAAACAAATAATGATTTTTATTTTAAATATTGCTTTTTACTTTACCCCGGCTGACCCAAGGGATATTCCACACCTCATGACATCAGGCTCAGCACCAATGGATATCTCAGAATCATAGAATGGTTTGGGTTGGAAGGGACCTTAAAGTTCATCCAGTTCCAACCCACTGACATGGGTAGGGACACCTTCCACTAGGTAAGTGGAACATGATCTTGAACACTTCCTTGAACGTAGAATCATAAAATCATTTAGGTTGGAAAAGACCTTTTAAGATCGTTGAGTCTAGCCATTAACCAGTTTTCATTCCAGTTTCTGATTCCAGATTCATTCCAAACGCCAATTTTAATCCAGTTGGTGGCAGCAACAGAAAATGGCAACACATCTTAGCATGATATGGAAGGTAGGATCAGGCTCCGCATAAGACTAGTTTTGTATGTTCCTAATGAGAAACCTAAGGAACATTTGTGATATGGAAGGTGCATCTTACCAGACTGTCCAAACAGGTTAAAATGAAAACCAAACAGCTGCTCCAAGTGACTGTCACATTCTGGTTGTCAATTCTCAACCAAAACCAGGAAATCTTAAATTTCTTCTGTGAAGTCAGCTGTACTGAGCATTTGTAATAATTTCTTCTTATTTCAGATCCCGAATTAAATAAAACCTGTATTATTTGCTATGGCTAAACATGAATAACTGCCAAATATTTAGAAGAAAAGCATATACCGTTCCGTATCTGTTATGCTTGGCATACAAAGCTGAGGGAAGAAGAAGGAAAGGGGGGACATTCAGAGTGATGGTATTTATCTTCCAAAGTAACCATTACATATGATGGAGCCCTGCTTTCCTGGGTATGGCTGAACACCTGTGTGCCTGGGGAAGCAGTGAATGAATTCCTTGTTTTGTTTTGCTTTTGTGTGTGTCTCCTGCTTTACCTATTAAACTGCCTTTACATCAACCTGAGTTTTCTCACTTCTCTGATTTTCTTCCCCACCCCACCAGGAGGGGTGAGTGAGCAGCTGCACGGTGTTCATTTGCTAAGTGGGGTTAAACGGTGACAGTCCTTTTTGGCTCCCAGTGTGGGGCCTGAAGGGTTTGAGAGAACAACAGGTTTGATTGGAATGTGCTAGATTGAATTTATAGCTGTTATTGCTGTTTAGTGAGTAATTGACAGATTCCTGTGATTGCCGTGGGGCTTGCTTGCCTTACTGTACATAGAGTCTAGTGCTCATTACTGGCTGCGTTTTGCTTTTGCTGCTCACTGTACTGCTGTAGTGCTATATTGCTGATCATCTTACTGTGCCATGCCTGGGAACATTTTGATAACGGCAATGGCGATGCGCCTGGGCTGGCAGATGGCCAGGGTATCACTGCTGTTTCTGTGCTGCTGTACTAGGCAGGCTGGAACTCCAATGTGAACTCGAATCAAAGGGACTGTGACCTGTGGATGGGTCCGTGCACGAGGAGGACACCCTGCAGTGTCTGCGGGTGTGGATAAGCCCATGCTAGAGCAGATAAATCTCAAAGTATTTTTTCTGATTCTGTTCCCCACCCCATCAGGAGTGGTGAGCAAGTGGCTGTGTGGTGCTTAGCTGCTGACAGGGGTTAAACCACAATAAATAGAAATAAAATAAATATTTTTTTTTAATTTAAAATATCCTAACTTAAAGTATTCATAACGAGGTTTGTTCCAAAATGTGAGAAAGAAGACTGGCTTTGTTTAAAAGAAATCAGAAAACCTCTCTTTCTGTGACTTGATCAATTTCTCTGCCCTGTAAGCTCTGAGGAGATTCTAATGCAAGTATTCAACCTCAGTCCATGATTCTCTTCTAGGTCTATGAAAGAGAGAGGGAAATACATGCTGCCTTTGTGTGTACAAGATGTCCACAAGTTCTGCTGCTTTCAGTCACTTTTCTATTCTTAACATGCCTGTTGCATCCCTAATGGACTTTCTGCCATTATAAACTTCAGAAAAGTGTTATTATGATCTTAACCACAATAATTGACTAATATTAAATATTGCATAGTGAAACCTTTGGAGAGAGGGGAGGATTCAATTTAGGACCTGTGTGTGTGGCCTCATTCTGAGGAAAAAAATAATTATCTATTCAAAGCACAGTATTTTGTGCTTGTAATTACAAGACACAAGAGTGATTATAAATGGATTTTGATGCACCTATTTTCACCACATTTCAGTAGCCTGGGCAAATTGCATTTTAATCATAGCTCACAATGTTATTTGATATTTGTGCCTTTTTGCTTGAAAGCAGGGAACGAAACATTTTTTGCTTGTACATACACATGGACATGCAGAGAATAACATAAAACACTTAATACACCATCTTTCATATAAACAAGTCCTAATACTATACCTTGGTTTTCCCTTTTGCAAAGCTAAAGGATGCACTATGAACATTTTCAGTCTTTACATTGTCACTGTGTTGGAAAACTGAACAAGGTATTTCTTGTGCTTAGCTCTCTTCACATAGAATCTGAAATTTGGTTGAAAGTACAAATCAGCATTACTTCTCCCTTTATTATCTGTAATTTCATTCTTGCTCTACTTACAATATTTAAATTTCTTTAGATATATTTGTGTTTACAGTAAATTTCTTCAATAAAGGCAACATCAATGTCCTGGGTTCAGCAGTAGCAGTCATTTTTCCCCTTCTTGGTAGCTGGTGCAGTGCAATGTTTTGACTTTCAGCTCGGGAACAGAGCTGATAACAAGCGATGTTTACCCTGACCAAGGACTCTGTGAGGCTCATACATAGCTACTGCTGAACCCAGGACAATCAACTATCACAAGGTTTACAGGGAAAGAAAGTCTATTCCTGTACTGTTCCACATTTTAAGTTAATATGTCTCATCCTTTCACTGCTTTTTAATATTACTGGAAGAAAATGCACCCCCCAAAAAACAAAACCTCAGCTTTGCTCTCTCTTTAGTTTTTACAGGATTTCTTTACTTTTGTCATATTAAACACTGAACTAAACTTAAAGAGTAAATGGAATTGAAGAAAAATACATCTTATATACCTTACAGCAAGATAGCGAAAAGTAAACACTATTAATGTCAAAACCGATTTAGCACTGTAACTCATGCCAATATTTACTTCCATTCTCTAACTTGCTTTAAAACTTCCATAACAAGAATTGTACTGTTTAGAATTTGGTTTTTATTTAAATGATTTGAAAAACAGCATAGGTTGTTTTCTAGATGATCTATGTATATAAAATATAACTGGTTTGAAATACATTGTTCTTATTCAAATACTCTGCTAATATTGGTATAAAGTCAAACATTCACTGTATGGTTGGTAGTTACAAGCTTGTTTTCCACAAAGACAAGCCATTAAAAATATTTTTTTAAATGCCTTCTAAAGTTTCTGCATTATCAGATGTGTAAAATGCTTTCTATTACAACTGAACCATTTTAAATTATTTTTTCATTTTGTTGGAGAAGCTGATGAAACATATGTTGAAATTAAGTTTTCCAAGTCAAGAATTCG